CGGTTTTATTACGACTCTTTTAATGTCCGTCATTTATTTTGTCGGCAAGAAACAGCCAAAGAGAAACGAGTAGACACACGAAAAACTTTGCTCCCACTGGAAGATTGATGGAAGGTCTGCGAAGAACATCGAAGAAAAAGTCATTTCGTTCTGACCCGCAACATGATATCGAACAATTTCCCTCTAACCTGGCTAACTGGTCTTACTCTCTTTAATCGATGTATCTGTCGCTTCGCCCTCTTTACTCGTGTCGCCATCTGTCGGACGAATACCTAACTGGAAAATCGATTTCAATTTTCTTCCTTTTTTTTCTCCTCTCTTAATAAATTTGGTTTAAAGAAATGATTTATAAATTCAATTTATAACGAAAATAATTTTTATTTTACGGTATTATATAGTTTTTCTATTACAAATTTTGACATTTTTATCATACTTACGCCTATATAAAAGTAACTATTTAAATATATTAAACGTCTGGTTATATTTTCCTATTAAAAGAATATTTAAATCTTTCTTACTTTGTAATTTTGTTTGCTAATAAATTTATTTTGACATATTTCATTACTCGAAATAAAAAAAAAACATCTAAAGTCGAAAAATTCTCCAAAGATTTAATAAAAAAAATAGAGTATAATTATAAAAAAATTTAAAAATTAAACTTATGTTTAAAAAATTAGATATTTTATGGAAAGATAAATAAGAAAGAAAGAAGAATAAAAAAAGCAGAGTTGCGAGTGGATAATTCTGCAATTCTAAGAAAGTGGACATTGTCCTGATGGGGGGTTTCCCTTTCTTCGCTCTGTTTCCTCTTCCATTGTCCAGGTGACGCTTCTCCAATGTCAAAGTCTGTCCAGACTTTGCTGATATCAGGAATTCTCCCCTATGGAATGTCATTAATTGAGAATCGCCTACCGGTCCACTTTCAACACACTTCTCGCTCTCCGCATCTTTCATCGTTTGTGCAGCTCCTTGGCTTTTTCTTTTTTTTTTTCTTTTCTTATTTTTTTAATTTTTAAAATGGTTTGGGATTATTCCATTGCGATTTAAGCTTACTTCTAAAATTCCATTAAGGAGGAAAAAATATTCCATCCGTACTTTTAAATCGTACAAGTCCCTAAATCGTGGTTTATTCTATTATAAAGTTAAGAAAGTTCGTTTAAAATAAAGAAAAGCATTATATAGAGGTATTAAATTCTGTTTAGTTATAAAAAGAAACTTTATTATATATTTAAAATATTCCGTATTCTACGTAAAAATTAAAATATTCTTAACTGTAGAACCATCTGAAGAGTGATTAATGTCTTAAATATGTCAGAAATTCGAAAATACAAGAAGCGGCATTCTATATTGAACTTAATAAAGCATAATGTATTTAAATAATTAGACTACTTATAAATAATTCATAATATTAATTTTATTAATTCCATAGCTTCGAGCGTCGAAATAAACACAGAATTCAATAAACAATTCCGACAATTGAGTAAAGAATCTGTCACGTTTGATTTTTATTTGTACAAAACGACTGTCGAAGCAATTGCGGGGTATTGTGACGTATCGCGCTTAATTATTGTAGATTTCCTACGACTTCACTTAGAAGGAAGAGGGACTTAAGGTGTTAGACGTGTTTATTATAGTAGTTACGTGTCCAATGGGACATTATATCAGTTTTGTCTGCTATCTCCTACGATAACGAATGTTTCATAACGCTTACGTGACAGTTTTGTCACCGTTATGTACGTTGGATAATTAGAATAATAAGATAAATCTTGTTTCTCTTCCACCTTGTTTTGACGCACGTTGGACAGATCGGTCCCTCTTTGCCTTACTAAACTTGACAGATATAAAATCTCGTTTGTATAATTTGACATTATCCTGAATTGTTTAACAACTTTCCATCCAATCCTACGTAACGAGGTAATTTATTAGCGAAGGAGAGAAACTTTTTATCGTGTTACGAAAATAGAAGCCAACACGTCTCTTTTTTTAAAACTTTTGTTTAATATATGATTAATTATTTTAAGAATTACTTTTCTTAATAATAATTTTAATTTCCCTTGAGATGATAGAACTTTTTTTAAGAATTTTATTCGATAAGTATGAAGATATTTAATAATTTATTTATTTATTTTTACTATAAATTCACCTTTATTTTTTATTTTTATAAAGTAAAAGCAACCTAATAAAGCATAATATTACAGTTAAGTTATAAATAAATTTATTCACTTAATTATATAAATTTTAATACAAATATTTAAGTTATGAACGGGGAGGGAAAACAGTTGTGACTTAAAATGACTTATTGCTATTTTCTGCAAAAATTATTATAATTATTCCCATTTATTCCTCCATCTCTGATATTAAAAACTATATTAAATAAGCATTACTTCATTCTTAATTTTACATTTAATTCATTTTATAACGTACACTTATGTATTACAGTATTATTGCTGTTATACTGTATAAAATTAAAAAAAAATCCCCCACACACAGAAGACGAATATTCCAACTAAAAACATCGTTAAACTTAAATATAGTTAGAGAAATGATTCCAATTTTAACAGAGAATTAACAAACAATAGAAACTTCTTTTTATTTTCTAAATATTAAATTTTTTTCTCCTTCGGGTTTAAAAACAGTATCATTAAATCAGAATCTTTACAGAGATCGTAGTTTATAAGATTTCAAAGATTTTCTTGGTCGTTAACAGAGAGTATCCTTTGTTTCCTGTTGCCATATAAAAAAATAAAAAATAAAATAAAAAAAGAGAATGTATCAAAGCTATCGAGTTAACGATCGTGTGTAGCGAAGTAATAATGATAAGTTGTAGAGTATACGGATAATGTCTATATTGGTGACAACATCCTGAGAGTGATCATCGATCCATGTCCACAGCCATCAGCAGCAATTCCTGCGCTGCCAGAGTTCTAATGGTGTACCTGTTGGTACTACAATTCCCGAGTGATGGCCAGGTTGATCTATTATTTAATTGCTATCGCTACAGTTTCACACTATTTTTCGAATTATTTACACTTTGTAACTTATATCTTTCAATTCTATAACACGACACTGTATAGGGGTGCACTTTGCAATATTAGAAATTTTCTTTTTTTTAAATGTATTTTGTGTTTAAATTCAGTCGTATTTTTTGTTTCACATGTAACGAATTATACCATTGGTTTTATTGCACTGCACAGGTTGGTTTATTCGTATAATGCGACATATGGGCAACCTGCCGAGGGGTTGCTTCCGGGAGGTCTTTAATGGGAAACTGGCTTTATTTAGGTGTTAGAAACGTGAAAAAAATTCGGAAAATTCCACGTGACCACTCCGTTGGCCAGGCGCGAACCCACGACCAACTACCATTGTTCGGTGGTTTTATCCACTCTGTCACTGGAGGGCAGAACCCTATTTCTTTTATATAGTATGGTTCAATATGTATTTATTGTAATGAATAAGTTTAATATATCGATTATTCATTNATATATACATATATTAAATTCACATCTTGTGGGACTAAATATAATATAAATCCATCTTCAGTCAGCTTAGGGTGGAAGTTATTTTAAATTTCTCCAGAAAAATATATTTTTAGACGAGAAGAATTTTGATGTTTTGAGAAACGAATTTCTATTGGTTTTGCGGATCTTATTAAAATTCTTTAAACATCATCAACAGAACAGAATCTATATAAAAGGGGGAATGGCGAAGGTACCGATCGGTGGCGCCATCTGAGAATCACAGACGAAACTATCATTCCTAAAAATAAAATTCCGATTAATTAATTATTTACATAAAAATCAATACAATGTACGAATATGGATTACCATTGAGAAACTTTCCACTTATATGCTTTCTACTTTGTAAACAACGGAAAATGTAAATAACAGTAAATGAAAGAAAGTGGACTGGATAAAAGTAATTCGAAACTTTGGATAATTTAAGAGTGGAAATGGACTTTGATCAAACACGTGTGGAGCTGGGATTAATGCATTGGTTAGTTGCATCGTTTGTTAGTATTATAGATCCTGCAGGGAAAACTAGAGAAACTACTTTGGCTTTTAATCCTTCATATTGTAATTGGCTCATTCTTCTACCTTTCAATTACATAAAAACCAATTACAGACTCTTATCACGCCATGTTTTGCTCTATTTTATCGAATTTCTCTTGGAATTTTTTTTTAAATATTATGAATATTAAAGTTAAAATGCGTGATAATATATGGTAATTTTATTATTTTTTTTAAATGAACAAATATTTCGATTATAATAAGGTAAAAATGTTATTTTTCTTATAATTTTTCATACATTTGTATGTCAATAAATAATTGATTGCATAGAAAATTTTATTAGAATATTAATAAATTATTTGCAGTGTAATAAGCTTAAAATGTATATATAAGTCAATGAAATATTTCCTACTTTATATTTATAAATATAAGCAGTTCATTCTGCACTCAGAATCTATAGAAAGGATGAATCTTAATTATCTTATTGAAAAGTAGAGTCACGTTTGAAGGATCTTTTCCTTTATTAAAAATAATTTTTACTTATTTATTCTTTATTAAATGTTTAATTAATATTTAATTTATTTAAAGCTTTTGTAAGATTTTTTTTTGTATATTTAACTGATAAAAACCCGGGTTAAGGATTGATATTAGTGAAGGAAACAACCACTATCTTACTCTTTAGCAAACTTAGTTTCCACATTTGTATGTTAATTGCATTTCTGTATTTTTCTATCAGGTTTTTCACTTAGTTTGTTAATAGAAAACTGGTGTTAGCATTAGAGAATGTATTTCTAGAACGAAGACTAAGGCCTATTATTCCCTTCAATAAAGAAATTCACTTAAAGAAATCTTATCAGAAGAAAAAAAAACTTTTTTAGAATTGTTACACTTTTTAAAATAATTTCAACTTTTATAATTTTATGCATTGGCAGAAAATCTAAATAATTAATTTCTCAATTCTTTTCTAAACAATGGTTATTCTTTATTTTTCAGGCATCGCCAGACCGGCTTCTGGTAAGTTTAAAGGCTTAATAGATTTATTCTCTTATATTTTCTATTTAATTATCACTTTTTAGTAGAAATTCTAAATTTAAACAATTTCTAACTTTTGAAAGTTTACTGAAATTTATCTTTTTTAATCTTATTTTTCTTTCATTATTAATTTTAAATATATTTTAAAAATTCTCTAACATTAAATTTTTAATTTTCCAATATAATAACACAATACTAATAATTAATACATTAATAAATTCATTTACATTTACAAAATGTACTTCGAAGTATTGACGAACATGTACTGTTGTATCAATTATTTTTATAGTTTTGTTAATATTTTATACATTTAAACTGTACTATATCATATAAAATAACCTCCATTGCATTATATTTGTATAATTATTATACTATTTTAAGACGTCAGTACGAGGCGATCGTTAAAAAAAACTGTATATTTAACGACTCGAATGATCATATTCTGAATTTCTATAACTTGTATGCCAATAAATATTGATATTCATACTTATAATGATATTTGATATTGATAGCTAAACAATACAACACAAAATATAACACATCTAATTAGAAATGATCGATTAATCGATATAGTAATTATATGATTATCCAATGTTAAAGTTAAGCGGATGCAGTAAATATTTCGTGAAAGAGAAATGCAATACTTGAAGGTAGAAAGGAAGAATGTAATATGGTAATAGCGTGATGCATCGTTACCATAATTCTAATTAACCTCGGGATCTTCTTAACCCAAAGGCGAATTGTTTAGATTTTTTTGCTTCATTAGCATTATCTTTTACATCTAAAAGAGTTTTTAAACGACGAATATTTAGTAGACCAGTGTATTTATCTTTGTAAGTCCCTTAAGCGACTTAAGTCTTTTTCTCAATTATTTTGTAGTTTGTTAATCCATTAAAGGATCGCTTAGTTTCTGCTAAATGAGCCGAAGACATTCCTACGACCTTTTAATTGTTTCTGTACTTGCCTCAGCTAAAAAGCTAAGCTGTTATCTTCGCATCTGTGGACGTTCTTCTATAGTTTCTCGATAGGGAAATAGATTGGACCCTTTTGAAAAGAATTCTGCACACTTATTTCTCATCCCTCTTTCTCTCTCTCTCTCTCTTCTCCTTCGTCGATTCTTTAAAAAAGAGCGGGAGCCTTAGGGACTAAAGTTCTTTGAGGCAATCAAATCGTCTCTGAGTTTCAATCAGCTTTACCCACATCCAAGTGAATTCTTTGATTTGGGAATTTTTTGAATCCTACTTTAAAGGCGTCGATTTTGAATTGAGAAAACCAAACGAAGAAAAGCAAATGTACTAAGACTCTTTGCTTAGATAAACATAAGTCCTTTTAAGGGAGATGGATCTAGAGTTAGGTTTTTTTAACATACCAAACTCAAATGTGGGCAATTAAGGTAACAAAAATAATACGGTTCTTCTCTCTTTTTTTTCTTTCTTTTTTTTCTGATTTCCTGTTCTGTCGAACAGCGGGGAAGAAAATAACTGATAACAACCACAGAACTTTATTTTTTTTTTCTATCTTATCAAGTTTGAACTCGCAAAAGTTAATTGGAAAGCCGAGAAGTTAGAAATTTTTCTTTTTGGTGGCGAAATAAAACGTAATCCGTCTTTTAAAATTCTTATCGATTTTAATTACTCAATTCGGCAATAACACGATAGCCTTTAACGAAGAAATTAATTATTGCTTGATCTTTTTTTTTGGTAATTATACATAACAATGTCTATGATCGAATTTTTACTAAAATTACGTAAAAAATATTCTAAATATATATACAACGAATTTTTAAGTAGTAAATTTTAATTAAAAAAAATAACTCTTCATTAATTTATTTACCTTAAAAAGATGATTACCGATACATTATATTGGTTAACGTTTGTAATCACCGTAATGATGATTATATTAATCATCATTATTGCTTAATTATATTTAATTACGTTAAAGTATATTTTCCAATATGCGTAATTATCATCATTAGCGAAATTTGTTATAGAAATCGAATTAGTTGGCGCATTCTTTTATTCTTAGAGGAGAGAAAGAAGATGGCCGATTAGAGTCAATCGTAGGAATGGAGATAATCCGAAGAGGGAATTTAAAACAAAATAAATTAGAAAGTGAGAGGAAATGAAAGCGAAAGAGAAGGAAGATAAGGTTATAGTTTTTAGGTTATTTCTGGCATGTTGAGAAAGAATAAACGAGTGTAAGTGAAGAAAAACGAAGAAACTCATCGTGTCTTAAGTCGTTTCGGATGAACCCGTCCATGCCTTATCACGGGTATACTTTAAGCTCGACTGGTAATATAACGTGTCGAACAATAGAGGCACGGCCGGTGGGATGAAGTCTTCGGAAGTAAAAAAGCAATTATCTGGCCCACTGTAGAAATTGAAGTACTCCCGTTCTGCCTTTCTACTCGACAGACTTTTTATTTCATTCGAGGCTATTCTCCGCCGAAAATGTAGAACTTTAACCCGAATAGCCAAAGTCACTAAATGTAATCTTCTGTTGGGAGTATTTTCGCTAAGAATTGAAGTAATTTAGAATTGAAACCGAACCTTGTCGAATAAATTTTAATGCGAAAAGGAGTTTTCGTTTTTCGGGCCATTGTACGTCTGAAGGGATTTTACAATGCTCACCACCTCTCCTTTGCTTCCACTGCAGATTGAACCAGGAAAAAATCTTCGCTCGCTTAGACACCAAGAAAAGAAAGGTGAATTATTCGACTACCAAACTTCATAGGACCACCTTCCCCACTCCATTTTAACTTTTCACATTTAACTCCGAAAATAGAACTCCTTACAGAATAAAATTCAATTTCTCTTATTTATCTTAATTTTGCTCTTTTAACTTTACTATCTGTCGAATGTAAAGTAGAAACTTTTCAATAACTGCAAAGTGAAATTTTTCATTAAATTTTCTTTTTAATATTGTTTAATACGCGTATATTATCAGCAGATAGTGAGAGTTTCGGTCTCTAGATGGAGACGTTGTCAATATTTGTTTCTTTTCCACTCGGATCGATAAGAGTTGAATGTTTTCTCTACAACCTATCATTCTGCGAACTAACCGTTTGCAAAGAAATTTCCAAGAATAAATAAAAAATTCTCATTTTACAAAACGGCTAAGGTGTCTTATCGCTCACTTTTCCTTCTTTCTGCTGATATTTTGAAACAATTTACAAGATGGCCAGATAAGATTCTTCCTCGAGTGTCGAGCTATTACGCGAATAACAACAAACCATCGAGTAATTACGTCGTTATTACAATAATTAACACAAGGAAATTACCAGAACAAAAAGCTAAAATCCAGCATTTATACAATTAGAAAGTATTCGGTTGAGACGATACTTAAATCTTACGGTCAGCTGCAAGGAATATGAGCGATATTGGTTAGAACAATACAACAAAAATTACTATGGCGGATAAGAATATGTTTCTCACATCTCTAGATCTTATTTTTAACCTTGGAAAAACCAACGAAATAAAATTGCCAGAGGAATATCAAACAGCGAGTCTAAATTAAGAATTTTAAGAAGACACGAATCCGAGTGATTGATGGAGAAATACTTGGAAATTGAATTTACGGAGTGAATTGGAACGGTTCTTACAAACGATACATTGAATAGGAAAATCTCTTTAGGAACAAAAGTGCATGTCTGAGTGCATTTAATTGAATATTCCAATCCCTTTACAATTTTTGCAACGTGAGTCATTTGTCAATTCGAAATTAGGTTTGATGTTTTCAAACGATTATAGACTTCTTAATGGACTTTAGAAATTCAAATCAGAATGTTGATATTTCAATATCGAATAAATGAAAAATGATTTATCATTTATCGCTTTATTGCACCTTTCGACAAAAACTGTTTTGTATTCTTTATAATTCGCTCGAAACCTCTTGAGTATGATAAGTAGACTGTTACCTTTCATTGCAACGTTTAAATCGTTTCCAATGTTTATATTAAGTTACGCTTTTAGCAGATATTAGTTTATCGGTTGGAAAAAATTCCAATAGGATCATTCTGTTGTTGATCCCATAATCGGTGAAGCATAAATATCTATCAAAGCAGGCTCGAATTGATTCTGGATCATCTGTGGCTTACGAGATATATTATCGGATCTGAAGAGGAAATAGAAAATAACTATCAATGACAGGTAATACATGATAATCTGAATCTAGAAATACTAGATTCTTCGATGTAATTACTTCATTACGATAACATTTTATTAGTAAGCGTGTATCGTCTCAAGAAGCAAGAATTAAAGCAGGAATTTTTATCCTGTTAAATAGCATTTACATCATTACTATACACGAAAATATTAAATATAAAGAGTCAAAACTAAAGCTTTAAAGGTAGTAATTTAAGACATTTAAAAATTTGTAAAGTCAAAATAATGTGTTTTACGAAGAAGCTGTAGTCTACTTTTGAATAACGGCCTATATAATGATTCTTGTTCCTGTCCATAAGCATGAAGTAACAGTTGAAAAGAATGTTAGCCATACCTGTTCAATTTTGAGAGATGTGGAAATAAAATACACAGTACATCCGAAACGAAATTTATTGATCGGACCATCAGATTTCTTTGCTTCACTCTTCTGGTATTCGACGTCCTTCTTCTAAAATCCATTAAAACACTAGCATTTTTTATTTCCTCCTCACTTGTCTACTCTTCAATCTTTGCCTCTCTGCGTAAAGAGAAAGCGATAGAACTATGTTAGAGACAGAATGATTAGATTTTTCCGGAGAAAATCAAGTTTATTCTAAGGAATCGCCACTTAGACGAAAAAAGTATGCGCGGGAATCCATTATCTCTACAGAACATGTAATGCATCTGGTTTAGCCCCGGGTTAAAATTTTCCTTAAATATATATCCGGAATGAGTCGAAATTAAAGTTGATGATTTTTAAGATTGAAGTGAATTGATGCCAATTTGAGTTACTTACAGGAGGTAGAAATTTATAGGAGGCCATTTCTGTGAGAGGGGTTA